TCTTCCTCGGCCTCCTCAGCAGCCTTCTCATCATCAGATGGTCCAGCGCCTTCTTTGCCACCGCTCTCAAGGAACTTGGTGAAGCCCTCGAGGGTTCTGTCTCCGGTGTAGTCGATGACCTTGTTTGATCCAGCTGGGAAGTATTTGATCGTTGGGAATGACTGTACCTTCACGTCCTCAACCTACAACAGCAATATTGCATTTCACTAAACATGTACTGTCTTCAATTGAAAAATTATTACTGGTAATGATCACTCCTACCTCGTTAGCAGTAGCGTCCATCTTAGCAATAATGATGTTCTCGTGATCAGCGTACTTCTCTCCGAGTTTGTCCCAAGTTGGAGCAAGCTGTTTGCAGTGACCGCACCATGGGGCGTAGAACTCGACCAGCACATTCTTGGTGTTGTCACGGGCAACTTGTTCGAAGTTCTTTCCGACGAGGACCTTGACTGGTGCCTTGTCCCAGTCTTCGGGGATCTCCTCGGACATGAGGTGAGGCTTGAGACCACCATCGAGGTACGATTGGGTGAACTTGACAATGTTTTCAGTGTTGATTTCAGCGAAGTCTGGCTTGAACTTGGTCATATCCTCCTCGAGAGAGATCAGGCGGACAGCTGGCAGATCATCCTTCTTGAGGCCGAAGAACTCCATGATACGTGCATTGTCTTCGACATCAGTGTTGATGTAGACGAAGAGAACCTTGCCCTTGAATTGCTTGGCAGCGTTCTTGAACTCCTTCTCGAGTTTTTCGAACTCGCTGGATTCCTTGGAAACGAACAGCAGGTTGTGGCTCTTGATCTCTCCACCGAAAATGACAGATGCGGTTTCCTGTGTGAATTCGGACACAAGAGCAAGACGGTTGGCCTGGATCCATGCCTTAATGGCGTCAGCGGTGTGCTTCTCCTCGAACACATCACGTCCTTCATCGAACTTCTTGAGGAGAACGATTCCTTCGTCTTTGAGTTCGAGATGCTTTTTGGCGGCACTCTCGGTGGTGATTCCGAAAGGAATGTCATCGATTCCACTAGCGACCTCGAGGAAGACCTTGGCCTTCTCGCCATCGACGTTCTAAAAAAGAAACCAGTTCGTTGAGCGAAATCAAGAAAGCGGATTCTAAAATCTTTAGAACGTTTTGTTGCAGGCAGAAATGGGGACAGGAATATTGGATATCCTACCATTTTCAACGGTACCCCCCACTAATTAAATTTGCTTAGTGCACAAAAAAAGTATTGAACGGCTGGACAAACAGACCCAACCGGCTACAGTTCCCTATTCAGTGGTGTTTACTTCAAATTGAAATAGGAGAAGAACGTTCGTTTCAATGAACATGACTATGACTGCAACCTTCCACGTGCAAGCGAAAAAGTGGAGCGGTGGGGACGGTGAAGGTCGTGGCTACTCTCAAGGTTATATGGTCTCATACACGTACTCATATTGAACGTTCTATATGCTCTTAGATACGGGCGCATACAAAGGACATACCTTGAAATAGCCTACGACGACGACATCGGCCTCCTCTTGCAGGGCCTTCACGTCGTCGGCCGTCTTGAGCGTCTTTGCAACCGGTCCAGTCTTCTTCTTCAACCAGGCGACAATCGACGCAGCATCACGTCCTCCAGTGTACTCAGAATGTTTTCCATTGCGGAACAGTTTCAGTGTGGGGTATCCTCGGACCTCGAACTTGCTGGCAACATCACCGTGAACGGTGGCGTCGAGTTTCGCCAGCTTGATTGCTGATCCTTCTTCCTTGAGTTGGGTTGCGGCTTTCTCGTACTCGGGGGCGAGAGCCTATAAGGCAACAGCATAAGTAAAAAGTAACAACAATTAAAGTCTGCAAGAAATTTGCAGCGTCAAAACTTGACCAACCTTACAGTGGCCGCACCAAGGAGCGTAGAACTCAGCAAGAACAAACTCGTGAGAGTTGATAACCTCATCGAAATTATCCTAAAAGTAAACCCTTATAAACCAATTATCAAAATAAACCGCTTAGGGTAAGCAGTAGATAGCGCTGTAACATCTCAGACCAGACGGGGCGTCAAAAAAAACCAAGGCGCTCTGATATTGCGCGCATGAATTGACAACTCCTAAGCAATCGATAAGGCAGAAGAGGAAACTCTTTGGCAACAGCTGAATCAGGCCCAAATGGTCATGCCACGATGCTCATAAGGATTACTGGATCCGAGTAAATCTAGAAAAGTTCGCGCATACCGACCCAAACCAGTAATTACTTGGACCGCATCAGAGTTCATTTAGTTGCTCATTTAGCATTAATACAGGTCAAATATATAGAAGAATAGTATTAAGTAGTTGAATGAATAGAAGTGATTACCTTAGTAAGGACGATTACATTTTTCTCTTCCTCAACGGTTGCTGCAAATGCAGACAGAGCAAAGAGGAAAACGCAGGTGAGTTTGAACATTGCGCCCCAATGAATGACAATCGGGTCGGACCGGCGTGGAGGCAGCAGGCCGTGCGTCCGTCTTATTGGCTCGCCGCCGCCCCGCCCTCGACGCTTATTGGCTTCGCAGCTCGCAAGGCCGCGCCGCGTGTCAACTCTCCGTTGGCCACACTTTCGTCGTGGTCGACGTGGACTTAACGTGTTGAATGTCGCTGGATATGATTCGTTTAAGTACGCACGTATTAGGCAATTGTTGGGATCAGATCGGATCGGGCACCGAGCCATAAGTTCCGGGGATAAAGAATTGCGAAATTGAATCGGGCGAAGACAAAATAAATAAAGTCAACAGCAGCAGCAGTCTTGTCGGGACTGTTTACTTTCTCGCCCATTCACGCTCCAGTCCTTCCTTATATCGAGCAAACTACCGGTGTTTCTGATAGCGTTTCAGTTCTTCTAGCCTAACATTTCCTTATTTTAATGAAGTTCTTGTCGTAACCGTCAATTCACGTAGTTTCGTCCTTGACCTTCCCATTGACACTAAAAGAAAACGATCGAAATAGGACCGAATTGCAAGCTGCTGTTGTCTGGGTAGCTTTTTTCCTAGTTCCTCTTCCTCATGTCCTTTGCCTCATCTTCTCGGATTTAGTCTCTAGGCTGTTTCACACGATTACTAGACTGTTAAGTAGGCTGAAATTATGCTGTTATGCAGTAAAATAAGGTTCTCCATACAAAGAAACTCATCTAGTCTTGTATGATTTGAGAGAGGATGCGTGATTTTATTCAGAACAACGGTGAAGCTACGGAAATTCCTTGCCACACCCAGTCTGATGCAATTCCCCATCGTCTTGAGAATCTCGTACCCTGTTTCGAAGTGCTCGTATAGAAAAGCGAGACCGTTTTTTGTACTTTACAGGGAATAACTATAGACCTTAGCCCATGTATAGCAATGGTTCAAGTTAGCTTTCCTTCTGATCGGAGATCAATCGTGTATCCTCGTTGGTCGGTGATGATTGATTGATTTACGGTGTATCGATTGGATTGAGGCTGTGGTTGGGCCAAAAGTATTCATACTAGTAGATAACTATTACTCACCACCAATCTAATCTAACCTATCTCATAAGGAGGTCGTCGGCGGATCACCTTTAATGATATGTCCTCCTGTCCGATCCTTGACCGAAGAATCACTTAGAGACCAATTCTGCCAATACAAACTGGACGGGCCCTTCTGTGAATTCACTTCCTACGCATTTGCTCCCAAGAAACTTTACCAGGGAAGATTTCAAGTCCACCCTATGTGGATATAGGGACTGTGAAGTAACTATCACCCTCAGAGCCCTTCAACCAAAGTATTAGACTATATTGCCCGAAAAGTACGTGCTTTTGGATCGGCTATGCACTTTACATAATTGTTTGGTGACGCTTCACAGTACCTTTTTGGTTAATGGAGATTTTAAATGAAAAACATTATTCGAACGCTGAACACTGCCACGACCCTGTGACCGTTACACTGACAGATCGATTCTAAAAGCAGTCTGAACCCTTTTATTCAACTGTATTATGACTAGGTACTTCAAGAGTTAATTTATTATCTATGAGGCTGCCCTGTATACCCTAGATTGTAGTTTGTTCCAAATCCTGCACCGTTCAAATCCCAACTATTGATCGTTTATGGTCCAAACACCCCAAATATTGATTGTTTGTCTCACGAATTATGGAGAATTTGGTAGCTATGGAGATCGCGCGCTCTATCAGAAACTTTTTCGACGACGACGGATGAAATACAGTTTTACGGCATAGTCTCAAAGTAATCAGCAGTGTTATCGATCACTGAGTAGGATGAGATAACAATCGCAATTCTTCGGTAGCGACGGCGTACTGTAGGCTTTTTAGCTAGCATGAAGCTAGATCTTGTATTAATAAAACAGATTTACGATTTTACTGTACTGCTTAATGATGACTGGTTCACTGAAGCGGATCCGAAACTGTACGATGTCGACCGGAACCGCAACTGTCATACTGGTTGGATGTCATCGGCGGCTTTCCGCCGAGGTTTCTAGGCCTATGGGTATGGTACGATGGCAGTCTTGAGATGGGGCTGAAGAGGCTCCTGCTTGCATCCAGTTTTTGTCCCAGGTTCGGCTGTTATGGTCTTGGCCAAAGTGGGTGCGGGATGCGTATCGATTGCGAGTGCTCCTCAGTACGTGCGACGATGACTGGGGGCTGCCCCCGCTCTTCCACCTCACCCACTGGCCCCTCTGTCCTCAAATATCGTCGCTGCATGTGTCCCTTGTGGTTTTTGTCTTGCTCAGTTGAAGCTCCATGAAGTTATTCTTATCGTACACGTTCGGGTGATCAATGAAATTCCTAATTAACTGTGACCTTACACGATTTCCCTGATTTCGCAATACCGGTCTTATTTCCAGTGCCGATTCAAACTTCTTTTTTAAAGATTAGGCATTGGCCACTCCTTTCTTTATCGTCTTTTACCTCAAGCGGAGTATCGTTATTATTTGTTCTTTGTTTTTAAAACAATAATCATCCGACGTTTTGTATTGACTTTCATTGGTTGACGCAAATCTAAATATTTTTTCATTTATTGAGGATGAGCAACGTAAGCGAGCAAGTGTCGAAGACGATGGAATCGGCCAAAGAAGCCGCAGCCAAAGTTGGCGAGCAAGTGTCAGATTTTTTTCAAGGAAACCCGTTCTCGACGCCAGTCGGACGCAAAATTGGTAAGTCCCGTTCAGGCAGCCCTTGTACTTTTAGCGTATAAGAAAAATGGATGTGGATTTCTGATTGATGTCACATTTTGGTAGAGAAATGTTTTCGCAAAAGGGCTGTTTATTATTCCGCAAAGCTATGGTGATCATGTACGCCTGCAAAAAGTATTTTTTTGCAGAAAATTTAATCCAAACAGAAAAACTTGTTTGTTTTACTGCCAATGATCGGGTAGCAGACGGTTGAATATTGTAAAAAAGCTAGGGAGAATAGAATTCGTATCCAGTAGAGCCTGAACTAGTTTTACTAGAAGACGTTAAACGAACTTTTGAATTAGCTGAAATTTGTTTGTTCTTCAAAACGCCATGCAATGGGGTCCTTTTTTGCAGACACATCCTTTTAGTTCAGTAGAGGAAATTGAAGCTCGCTACAAAAAGCGCTTTGGGCCCCCACTTCCGAATGCTGCTAATGCATTCTGCGGTGACGATGACACTGACGTGTGGAACAGAAATCTGGCGCAAAGCCAAATTGAATAGCTTTGTTGGTTACTGTATAACTGAATTTTAATGTTTAATAGAGCCAACCTTTCAGAACTCGCCACTAATGCTTCCATTCTTGCCACTGAAAATTGGGGGTTGAACATGGAGATCTGCGATTTTATCAACAGCACCGAAGACGGGTTTGTCAATTTTTAAAAGTTTCCTTTCATCTGTTATTCATAAGATACCTCATTTTCCACATCAAAGCTAATTGATACGAACACCTGTCCATACTATGACGTTCTCTTCGTAATCATGATTTCCATGGTAAACGAACTGCCGGGGTTTTTTGATGCTCTGTGGATTTGTGTATGCCCCATATTGCTAGGGACTATCACGATCATGGGTTTTAATCATAACCAAAACTGTTAAGGTTGTAAAATGTATAGGTAGTGTAAACCTACCCAACGGCTTACGTTCCTTAGTTCTAAAAACTTTTCCATTCGGTTTACGGTGTATACCAGTTTACTTTTCCCGTCTTAAGCCATTCAGATCCTTTGTTAATTATTTTTGTTAATGGCAGTTTACAAGAATAGAGAGTTGCCGTAGAAAGAATTGATAACATTTGCCAATGTATCTTTTACAACGTAGTTTGCCAAGGTTATAACTTGCATAGACCTTTTTGCGATTTCGCTCTGATGATAACAGCAGATCTTCGATATACTGCTATCGCTATGAAAATATTTTCTAAAAAGCAGAATTTTGAATGTCAACCAGCTCAGTTTATAAATTTGCAAATTTACTTGAAGTAAACTGCTTTATTTAGGGCCAAGGATGCTGTCCGTGCAATTCGCAAACGTCTGCACACAAATATGTGCAAGAATAATGCGATTGTGATGTATACATTGACGGTCTTGGAGACGTGTGTCAAGAATTGCGGCCATAATTTCCATGTCCTCGTCTGTTCCAAGGACTTTGTCCAAGATCTGGTCAAGTTGATCGGCTCGAAGTTCGATACGCCGCAGATCATTCACGAACGTGTCTTGTCACTTATCCAGGTACAAATTTTGTCTAATTTATTAGTTTGGCCCCAATTTCCAGCACATCAGTGAAAAGTTTTCTTTATTCCCTTTATGTTTTTCACTTTAATTCCTATCTATGAGCCTCCCCAATAAAAACTCATGAAAACGGCAATTTCGTTTGGAAACTACGAAAAATGGTACAGGTATCTGTCTACTAGCAAAAACTGAATCCTTTTCCTATGGGGGGCCCTTTTCTGTTAGGTTTTCTCATCGTACGCTTGACCCAGTTTGGTTTCGTCAGCCATGTCAAACAGGTATGCCGCAACGCTAAAACGGCAACCCGCATAGAACTGACCGGGACTTTTTCCTCATCGGGGTTCCTCTTGGCTCATTTCACAGCACGAACCTCTAAAAGTATCATTTGAAGCTATATACCCTAGAAAATACTCTAGCATCTGCAGATAATTTGCAGATTTGGGTTCGGAGGAAATTAACATTACAATTTACTTATATGTAAAGAAACTAAATTGAGGGTGTCACTATTGTTATAAAACTTCGAGTTTGTGATGATCAGTGATCTCGAAACGAGTTTTATTGAAGATGAAAGAGATCCTCATTGTGTAAGTTGAGCGTTTGCTCTTGATATGCCGTCGTTCTTCATAGTTTATTACATCTTTGCATGCAATGTTATATTGTCATCAGCGGGATATTTCTTTTTCATTGAAACATGATTTGCGAGTGTTACATTTTGAGTGGAACTGCATTATGATGCAATAGTCCGTGCCATTTTTCTACATCATCATCGTCGTTTCTGATCAATGTTTCAATGCCGGTCATCTTGGGGGTATTCTAAAAGTACAGTTCAGAAAATTTATTCCGTCAAGGATGGCGGGGTGGCGATGGGGATGGCGATCCAGATCGGACAACCAGCAATTGGGGGCACTTTTAGTTGGTTGAACTCGTGAACGCGCGACCCGAACGATTAGACCGTCCGTCCGACCAGTGCGCCCGTCGCTTTCATCGTAAAATCTTCCCGGTCATCGTTAAGAATTCGAGTTATGGTTGAAACAATGCGCTCGTCAACGCGTTCTCTTTTTTTTTTCTCGGTTGACGGCGGCACGACCTCGACGCAGACGTGTCCTCCATTTGCAGCGACCACTGCCTTCTCACCATCGGAAACTGCCTCGTTCGTAGCGAAAACGTCTTAACACACGTACATAAGGAGTCGTCCATCATTGGATGAGTACAAAAAACAGGCAGAAATCGTGCATTCTCCTGAGACGTTCCAGACACACAGGTCGAAAGGCGTCCAATGAAATTGGGCGACAGGGAACTTGTAGATGGTGCTATTAGTACATCGCTCGACGGTATTTCTCGATGTCACGTCAGGAAGAACCTGTTCATCCTTTAAAGTGCTACAGTTGTATTTGTGTAATAAGGCTGTAACGTTCCCAATTTCATATTTTCTGTGAAAAAAAAAATGAGTGAATGGTCAGTCTGTCAATAGATTCCTTATTTTGGTGTCCTTTGAATGTGACTTCTAAGGGCATTTTTTCAAACGGAATTCTAATGAGGACTATGTGGCCATTCTTTTTACCACACATGATAATCTCATGCTTTGGAATGTTCGAAGCTGTGAAGGGCAGATTCGGGTGATCATCGGGTCTGAATAAGGCCTGTGAAGAACTACAGAATTCGGTCGTTCCTATGTTAATTGGAAAGGACGTCTTGTCTGTGGGAAGGAATCGCTTCTCGGAGGCATTTTTGATAAGAAATGCGCTCCCATTGATCGACTGGTGACATTTTGCGGCCAAATAGCTAATTGGGAGAATAATCGGTTGGTAAACGCTAGCAGGGCACTGCGTCAGCCGATTTTCTTGGAGAGCTTACAACAAAAGTTTTGGTTTCTGGTAGCCAATTAATGGATTCAAGAATAAGCAGGACAACTCAATATAGTACGGATCCAGCTAACGGACTCGATTGTCACCTAAGCTGTGAACTCTATGGAATTGCGCCTGCTAATATTTGCAACTTTCTTTTTTCTTTCTGCCCGCAAACGGTTGCACGGCGCATTCCATTCTCTGCAAGACATTACACTGGATCACGGATTTGTCATCTGTTCCTGCAGAAAAGCAGCTTGCATCCTCCCAATCGTCTGATGGACCGCTGCGCAATGCAATTACTTGAAGTCATGGAGTGTTTCGTAATTGAACTGGTTTCAGTTGTCGTCTAACGTTTACGGACGAGTTCCCTTTTTTCGGCCAAAGTCATTTGGGGGAAGAATTTTTGAAGACTGTAAACAGCTTTGCATTTATGGATCTGATATTGGTTCGACAGCTCATATAGTAGAATGAGCAGGACATGAAACCAGGGAGGGGAGAGGGGAGGGGAAGGGGGATCCAGGCCGTTAGGAGGTTCTTATATCATACGTGGCTGCAATCTAGGGCTAAGCTCTTATATGAGTAGGTTGACCGGTTTCCTTCGCAACCGGCTCGCATAAGGTCTGTTTACTGTCATCGCTGAAGTGGTTACGAATGAAACGGAAAGACCACTGTTAAAAAACCCATACGTAGTATTGTAGTCTGCCCGGGATTTTGTAGTTGTTCATCGAATTTAGAATGCGACATCTCCCAGCTTTCGTTGTGATGTGGAAGTTAGGATTTTGGGATGAAATCAACCAATGTTTTGTTTCTTGTGTCCTCAAGTCACATTAGTGTTTGTGGGCTTCTCAAGTTTACTAGAAAACTCTCGTATCACATTTTCGACAGCTGGAGGAAAGAAGTACATCGACGTGGTTGTGAACAGTGAAACAAACAGCCTACATAAGCAACCCAAACTGTTGTGTAACAACAAGTTGGTTTCAAAGTAGCTGTTCCCTCATAGGTGTCGATTCTACCTGTGATTCGCCAATGATCTCAACTCGCCAATGGCAGACAGCCGCTGCACATTCAATGCCCGCCTGGCTCCTGCATCAAGACATGTCCTGGGCTGAATAAAAAAGTAATAGGTAGTAACACCAACAGTAATAAAAAAGTTCCCGATCGTTGAACTATATAAACGGCGGAAACTTATTAATCTCAGATCTCTTTTGTAGAACTTTCTGGTTCCTCTCATTGCCTAATGTAAGAAAGCAGTCAGAAATACTGAGCACTTAAATCCACCTGTATTGTTACTATGCAGTAGCTATGCGTGAAAATGCTTCTTGAACGGTTCAGTAATGACTATTAATTACTATACTAAAAGAATATTTATCACTGGGCGAAAGAAACAGTGTACAACAAAAGGTACCGTATCGGTTGTATCACATATTAATAATTCAGGCATGGGCAGATGCATTCCGTGGACATCCCGATTTACAAGGAGTTGTGCAGGTCTATGAAGAACTCGTGACAAAAGGTGTCACATTCCCTGCAACGGATTTGGATGCAATGGCACCTATAATTACACCGAAACAGGTTATTTATATTTACTTTTTTGTCATATTTGATGAGGGTGCAACTTTACTGTGACCTGTGTTTTTTATGTTTCAAGGTTTTTTTTTGTTTTGTACTGGCACTTCAATGGGATTCAAGTTCCACGGTGCTGTTGCTTGCGTCTTCAGCTTCTAAGGAACATTCCATGCCGGAATGACGACAGTGGCGGAGCGGTGTTGAATGCTCTCATCTTTGTGTGTTATTAAGTTCGGTTTTCTGTCATCTTCTTTGACGATGCAGTGTTGTGGGAGTGGTCGTTACCATGACTTTCAAGACAATACAAAACGAATGATCAATGTCGCTACCGTAGCAAAATCAGGCTAAACAAATTTCTACCTGACGGCACATTGTTATTTTGAGTTGGCACAATGGGTGAATGGTCATCGCTGCTATGACTGCTGAGCAGAACTATGTGTTGTATGGGAGACTACCAATGGAGGGCTCACAGTCCATCAGCTCAAAGGAACGGGGTTTCCACGTCCTTGTAGAGGCCTCACTCTCGATAGCACTGTCCCGCTTGATGGGATCGGATCGAATCTTGCCCGATGACCAGCTACGGCTCCCAACCGTCAAGGACCAGCCCATGAACAGGACTGCTAATGTTGTGGAGCAAAAATCACAGGCCTAATGAGCGGCAGGTTCATTTTCCTCTCCAATGTCCAGTACGCAATAATGGGAGACGAAGATACTTTAAATTCTGTGTTGCATAGTTCATCCTCGTGAACCATCTCACGTCGTTCTTCTTCTTGTATGTGAAGTAGGGACTTTACGGCCGCGACTGGTCATAGCCGAGGGACAAGAGTAGAACGTTACGTGAGCATTAGGAGGATCTGTTGGCGTTATCCGGTTTGGCATAGGAGCGCTTGCTTAAAACTGGCTGACATAAGAGGGAGAATAGCTCAGCCTATTATCCGTAATCCGTGTTGACTTTTTTTGTCGCACTTATTCAAGTATCGGAAACCAGCTGTGCTGAATAGCCCCATGTGAACAAGGAGGCTGCCTTCTGTGAATTTAGTTATTCATAAACGCTCTTACATAATTGAGGGATCAAACGGCGCTGTGATGTCAACGCCATGTCTTTCCTTGGTGATAATCCTACTCTTGTCGGAGTCTTCTCGGGATATAATCTGCTCTAGAACATTAGTGGTTCAGTGTAATTCCAACATTGCAGGAACGTTAGACACTTCTTAATGGCGATGCCTTTCTAGAAGTTCAGCTGAAGATTTTCTGTTCACGCATGGGATTCTGAGTGATTCTGAACGGTTGAGACTGATTCTGGAATAGTTTCTTGAAGGTGTTGAAATGAGCTAGTCCTTCGAAATCTCCAGAACTAGCTAAGGAGGTGATACACCGGAAGAAACGTGAAGGATGAAAACGATAAAGTCTTCGGGCGTTGATCAGTCCCGTCCGTCTGACCTTCGACTTCCATTCGGAATCAAAGTGGCGTAATGAATGCGTATGTGGCCTACACAATGACTTACGGTGGTCAGACGATATACAAGTCAGCGCTTTTATCCCCCGACACGAGTCTCGTACCAATTACCCTACCCCGAAGGGATGGAAGGCTTGGTTGGCCTAGGCAGACCGGAAGAAACAGTGTTAGTGTTCATAAATACTCAGTAGGGTTGCCGAATTCGTTCTAAGAAGCTTGCATGCATTTGAATGTTGTGGTGATTGTGTTGTGTTGTAGACGGTGTTCCCGGATCCCAAGACATCTCCGCTCCCTTCTCAGCCCTCACATTCTGACGGAGCTCGAGTAAGTGCGGTTTGAAATACGGCAGTAACGTGAAAAGATAGGAAATGATTTAGAGTTACGAAGTTGTGAGCCATGCTGATGGTCCGATAATAGCTAGCGCTGAACAGCTGGCAAAACTTCGATCTGATCTGGATGTGGTGAATTCGAATTTGAAAGTGGGTTTAGAGTTGCATCAACTGATTCTCCGACGATGTAATGACAGTGACTGTTCATAGGTGTTCCGCGAAATGCTCACTGAAATCATTCCTGGTCGTGAGACTGCTGATGAATTACAATTACTCAATGAGTTGCATGCAACATGTAAACAAATGCAACTTCGTGTACTGGATTTGATTCGCAGTGTTGGGAATGAAGAAGTGACATGTGAGTTCGCCTACAGATAACTGTTTACCTTCGATGAATTCGGTTTTATGATATCTTACCTCGAAAACGAAGTGGGCAGTAGTCTGCCTGCCTCAGGATGAGTGGCCGTTTTTACCTTGTGAGCTGGTCTGCGGCAAAAGGCGTATAGGGGTTGATCTTGATTAGTTCCGTATTGACCCGCCCTTGCGTTCCATTTGTATTCATGGTAGTAGTAGAACTGGAGTACGTACAGCACAGTATTGCATATAGTAATTAGCTAATATAGAAGTTACTGTCTTCATTTCCAATGCAAGTTTGGTCCCGAATTGAAATAAAAGGCTTGGTTGGCCTTGGCCAAATTCTACTCGGGATTTGGTCAGTGAAGTATGTTTGTTGCCGGAGGGGGAGACGTGTTTGCGCGAAATAGTTTCTGAAGAACTCAGAAATAATATATATGTCTCTTCGATGTGGAATCCAAATGAGAGATACTGTAGATGGGAGTAACTTCCAAAATATCACCAATATGCAGTCTTTCAGACGAGCTTCTCGTCATGAATGACGAATTCAATAGTGTATTCGAAAAGTACGATCGATTCATGACGAATCGAACCGGCGATGCAACCAGCGATGCTGCTGCTGCTCCAGCTCAACAAGAAGTCGGAGATCTGATCGACGTGGGACAATCTGTGAAACCACTGGAGCACCAGCTAGCTGGAATGAGTCAGTTTTGAGCCTAATTATGGTACATCTTTATAGTGATGACTGGGTTTTATAAAAACCTATAAAGCAGTCTATTGTGGGATTGAGTACTCAATTGCGACTAGCAGCAGGACGAGTTACAACGAGCAGTGCGCTATATTTTGATGTATACAACTAAGCCAACCAAGTAACTGCTTTCGAAGGATGGAATGCTCTAATAGCTTGGGAGGAACACGATCCGCGGAAAGTGTAGGTAGTAGTATTGGCGCCATATGCCGTCCCTCTCACGTTCAGAAAGGTCTACAGTTATAGCGATGCTGTTCATAATTTTATGAGTAAGTTGTAGACATTTCAGAGGTGACGTCGGCTTCAACTTCGGATGCCTACGCTGCCAACAGTGAGCAGCAAGCAGCTATTGGGATCGCAACCGCGGTCAACAGTAAGGTAAGAATCCTCCACAACTTTCTACTCAACTAACCTTCACATGGGAGTTTTCTGATTGTTTTAGAATGGTGTCACCGAAGTCGAAGCGAAAGAGATGGAAAACTGGCTTGCTGCCCAAGGTGAGGTTTCACTTTTGTGGTACTTTATGTGAAAAAAAAGTAAAGTGAAAGATCTAAGGCCAGAGTAATGGTTAGAAACGGTTGGATTTATGGGAAGTGCTGAATGCCGTGGAAGAAATTGGAACAAAAAAGCAACGCCATTCGTTTTGTAGACGAATCCACCTAGTGTTTGCTAGATTATTTCTGTCAGTTTCTAGGGAGCTGCCCATTTCTGTACTTCCGATCGTTTTCTTCGTTCCGTTTTCCGATTTCTGCCCTTCTTATTTTTAAGGCTTTCCTTCACTTGTAGATCATCTTTGCTAGTGTCTTCTAGTAGGCTTTCGAAATCGGATAGATTGTGTTGTGAAGTACGAGTATTGAGGGGAGTCGATGTGGAGCCTAAGTGGACCAGCCGTGTGTAATTTCTCTAAGAGAATTAAGATTGTAGAGCAAAAGGTTATTTGAGCTCAAAAAAGGAAGAGGGGTACCCAGGGTTTCCGACTAGGTTTTGGTTTACCTCGTTGTGGTGAGAACACCCTATCAACACCACACAGCTGACGTTTAGGCTCCATACCACTCAGTGGCTGCTTTCATAGTTCGCGAGCGAGCGAGCGCGCGAGCCAGCCGGGGTCTATTCGTCCGGGGGTGTGGTGCGATTCACGCGCCAATATAATGAGGTCATCGAACAAAACACGCTAAAACATCATGCCTACCATCANAATGAAAGAAATAAGAACTTATAAGTAGAATAAGTAAAGAAATAACCAACTGTGCACGTTTACAGAAGGATTGCGTTTTCTAGGATCAAAAAATTTGAAGTTATTCTCATTTTGAACGTTTGACAAGTAAATTGACGAACTATGGTGTGAATTCCTAATCTCGAAGAGGTTTCATGGCCATAGTAAAGATATTTCTCTAATTCATGGTGAAGCCGTGGACTACTGCAAATTTATTTGGTCCATCTCAACAGAAAGGTACTGAAACAATGCTGCGTGCGCGAAGAGCTCTAATGGGGTCACGCGTGAATCGCGCGCCCCCCATTCGTCCGGCGGCATCGATCAGGATTCACTTGTAAATAAGGCGCAAGCGCCACCCCAATCGCTCGCTCTCCCGCTCGCTGGCCAAATCGTGAACTATGAAAGCAGCCAGTCAGATACCACAGGTACTTTCCTTTGGTCATCTGTCTGTTCCCCAAGGTTTCACGTGAATCAAGTTACCAAAAACCTGATACGTAGTGATAATAGTGTCCATAAAGATGTCTCATAGTGTTTTTCCATTACTATTATTGTTCGATTTCCAGATAAGCCTGCAAATACTCCAAAGAAATCCGATGATGACAAATTGTAGACGCTTAAAATGCCGTGCAACGCAGCAGTATGTATTTGATTTCGCCAAGTGCCCAAATAATAATTCCGTGTATATAAAATAATCAATCTGTGCTTAATTTCTCGTGATATTGTGTGGGTCTCTCTCTCTCCTATCTGTCTTCATCTTCTTCACACTTATTTTTTTGGTACATTTACATTCACTACTTGTTTTCCATTTGTTGACCGTTAAATCCCCGTCTATACAATACCGCTGTCAACTGCTAGTCTTGCTATAATGCCCAGATTGTCAATTTTTGTCATACTGAAACGGACACGCAAATGAACTACAACATAAATGTTTACTGGTAACGCCTCACACAAACAAGTAAAAAAAATCGTCGGGAAAGAAGTGACATTGGCATTAAAATTAGCCGGCGGCAAAAAAATGTATAAAGGCGAACATGACCGTTCCATGCATTTCAGTAAATGAACACGATTGTAGCGATTTTACCAGATGAAAATATGAACACACAATTAAAATAAATCCATGGTGGACAAATGACATTGGGATAGAACACTAGAACTGACCCCCGGGATGGCAATATCTCCTCAAACGACAGTTTCTCTTCAAAAAGTACCAAAACCGTCATATTTAAATATGAAACCTTACTACATATGATAAAGAAAGCTATTAGAAGAGAAACCCGCTTGAGCAGACATCCCAGGTGGTAGGAAAGTGAAGCAGACCTTTACGAATCGTGCAGTTTTTACCAGTCTTTCGAGATCTCCGTGGTCCATGACCATGTCAACCAGTCGTGGCCATCGTCATCAGTCATCTGTGACTTCACTTTATATTTGCCACGATGGAGCATACCTGAAAGTGACGATAATAATGGTATACTGTAGGAAGTTAGGCTTTAGTTGGGTTCTCGAATCCTCTTGGTCTTGGGCAAGTGAGATAAATATGTGCAGCAAGTTTAGATAGAATGCAGTGGTTCGCATGGTATAGGTGCTACGAGGGATCAATATCGTTAGAAATCAATAATTCTAGATCAAATCGAAAGGGTCAGGGTCATAAAAAAAACTGAAAGATCTCAAGTAGTGAACTGTAAGTACGCATTGGCGGTTTTTTGAGTGGAACTGAGCCCAAAGTGATTGTGCGAGTCACCCACACAGCTTGAACATGATAGATCTAAACATACCGGAGGGAGCTTCTTCAACTGGGGTGGTATAGCTCTGGAGCTCCTTTTTCGGTGCATACGATCCAACCATAAAGTTTTCCTTCAAAACTTGCACTCCATGACGGCTCACTTTATGCACATATCTGAAACATAAAATAATAATAATGATAAAGAACTTTAAAACTTCACAGAGTTCGTTACTTATTCTGCAACATGCATGCTGGGGGTGATCGATTGTACTTAGTAATAGAGACGGGGAGGAAATATTATTTATTTGCGGCTTTCTTAGTCAAGGGCATCATTCAATGGTTGAGAAAGCAGTGGGTGATTTACAACTGGGAATGGGGAGTAGCAGCCCCCAATAAAACAGTCATAAGCCGGGTGGTTAGGAAACATCTCTTCTTCTAAATGCATTACCAGTGATATTCTGTAATTATGACATTCCTTCCCGATAAAAAGCGTCAAAAGAATTATCCTTGCTGAACTCATCCCCGAAGTACAGAGAAAAGCCACAAATCCACTAAGCGGACCACTTCCCTCAAAATGACAACCCCGCTGAGAACATTTTTGACCCTGATCTGAAAAATAAAAAAAAACAGCGGTAAACTGCTTGCAGGATCATGGAAGAACAGATCGTCTTTCATTAAATTACCAGTAACAGAGCCATATTCAGAGACTATTGTTTACTACACTTCGGTATTTCAAAACTTTTCTTAACGTTAAAAAAAGGCCAAAGAGTAAACCTTACTTTAGACCGGTGACAATCTCACGTTGAACATAAAAATCAAAGCGAAGTCGGTACTGGCAGCCTTCCTTCATCCTGAAAGTCGCATCTCCCAGGGCACCTAAAAACATTTGGCAATTACCTGAACCCCTACTCAGGTATCCTACTCCTATAGAACTGCACACAAGCCGGGTATCGAAGTTTACGGCATTTCTCGCCTGACACCCGTGTCTTCGCTTGCTGCCTTCGATAAGGTCTGGGATTGGTATCAGACTCTCCTTCTGATGAGCTTCAGCGAGCTAACAGACCAAATTGGGAACGCTCAGAATGGTCTGGGATCAAAAGACATTAACCGAGAGCCGTCTAAATTTGCCTTCCCAAAGTTCGAAAATAGGCAACAGCTCCCTTCGATCAATTAGATAAGCAGTAATAGCAAAATTTTATAGCACCGCAACTACTAATAAGCAATGATTAAATTTGCTAGCCGACATGCAGCAGTGAAAAACAGGTGGGTCTATAGCGATCGGGATATAAATCATAGTTCCGTAATTTTGACTTCTGTATAATTGTATGCTGCATGAGGAGAAGATATAGTCGAAGCTGTAGTCGATTAATAGGTTCTCAGCAACATCCTGGTTAGCAACGCAGAAGAAAGAGACTCTCTACCGCTATTGTGAGCTTAATGGGACCCTTATCTTTCCACTTTCACGAACCCGCTTATGAACTCCTGTACTTCTGGGTTGAGATGCTAACCTGAGAAAGCTACAGGGAAGGTACCTTCAGTAAATGGTCCTCAAAATTGGAGTAGATAGTCGCCATGACATATTATTTGATTAATCTTTAGTGCCACCACTAAAAGAGTGTAATCGGAGCTGGGTGTCAATCTCAATTACTGCAAGACCAAGCTAGGAGGTCCGCCATACATAGAGGTCTCCAAATCGTAGCTATTTGGCACTCAAAGAAGAAAAAAAAAACCAGCCGATAAACGAATTTCTCACCTGCATTATCTAGTTGCATTGTGACTTCTTCACGGCCAGGGACGAGTAACGTGATCGACTTGACAATAACAACTTTCGGATTTGAAGGGTCAACAATAATATCGGTTGGTGATGTACCGAGTAAGGTCGCTTTGTATTTTGCAAGGCTTTCATCATCCTGAAAATCTTTTTTTTAGTTTCTAAAAAAATTGGACTCTAGCCAATAAGGAATTCATCTCATCTGTATACGTTGATGAGAAGCAAGCGTGCGGTTTCATCACGCCACTATCCGACAGTCCGATTGCCGCTGCATTTCGGCCACCCCATTAAATTACCCTTAGCTTATAGACCACTTCACGTTTGAATATTTACTTTTTCGGGAATTAGTAATTTAATGACAAACTCATTTCTCGATCGTTAACAACAACAATGGTTCATCGAAAACAAGGATGTGTCATAATTTAGGTTTCGAAACAAAATTTCCGAGACATTTTGACAAACGATGACAAAGCAATCAGTAAAGTATGTTCGATGATTTCTTCAAGCGTCTCTGACAATAGGCAACATTAGGAAAAGCATGCATCATAAAACTTCTATTGTTATGTAGAAGCTATGAGCAAGAATCTGATTCAAATATGGACTTTTCGGCTTGTCCAAGGTGCAGCTATAATTAAGTTGGTTGAAAAAGACTCGCGTAACAAAAAAACATGTAACCGGCGCCATACCATAGAAGGTACTTGAAAACGTAGGTAAAATAGTTCCGAGGTGAAAGTAGTAACGACAGGAATCTGGAAAAGAGGAATCAACCAGGTGGCAACTGACTGACACCACCACTGTTTCCTCGTCACTCACTTGGAGATCCAGGTTTTTAGAAGGTCATGGAAAGATAGATAACAAATATAAAAATATGGTGTAGAAGATGAAGTGAGGGATAAAGTCTCTACCACTAATTGATCTTCGCTTGGGATGCGCCACCCCACGAGTTTCATGCAGAATCGTAGTGGTTGTTTGGATGCGCTTGTGCCTATACAATTACTTTCGGTAGCCAGCCGATGTAAGAGTCAGTGCTTTTATCCTCCCAAACGAGTCTAGTACCAATTAAACGACGGAGGAGGGATGAAGGCTTGGTTGGCCTAGGTGACTATCGACCCGAGATTCGAACCCCTNACCGTGCATGTGAGATAGTGCGCCACTTGCCACTATACCACCTTCTCAGTGAATATTGTGTATGAGAGAAAGACCCGTACTTGGACAATAGAAGATTCCTCATGAAACAGACCATTATTAACAAGTGACGTAATTTCTTGATCGATCCAAATCAACGAAAACGGAAGGATTACAGTATATGAAATCTGATCTCAACGTACCCCTCCACCAACCCTCCACTCGTACGCTTGTTTTTTATTTACATGCCTTTCGCATTACATAAATTACACCAAAAAAAAGTAGGCTAGAATTCATTACTGCCTTTGCGTGCAAAGGTTCCAGGCAAAATAATGAATGGCCATGGAAGAGGCCAGGCACCATCGGAAGTTAAAACAGAAGCTATTTCGCCATGATGGCCCTTCTTGGCATGATTTAGGTCTCCGAATTCGATGTTTTTTCGGTGAAACCGATAAAAACTCTGCAAACGCTAGCGATGTGTATCGTTTTAGCGGTTGAAAAAACAGATAAAATTATAACACCACTAGGATTTGGGAGAAAAAGCATGGATACCATTTGAAACCACAAAACGCATGGGAATTGCTCTTATATATCAAGGATTAGCTCAAAAAGCTCTGAAAAACTCGTCCAACCCTGAACTTCTGTTGACTGCACAGCTACTTCAATTCGCCTGACGTTATTGCCCACCACCACTTTTCCTAATCTTATCAAACTCGCCACCTCTTGTTCGTTTCGTCCCAAAGGTCCCCGCCACTCGCTATTCTCCCTACTACAAGGAATCGTCAAAGAAACTGATCAGCCCAGAATTCGAAAGCCGGCCCTTCCCTCATACAGGTAGGACCACAACTAGTTAGGATGCAAAGACTGGCAAAAATTTGAATTAGACCCCCTTCTTCAGAAACTTTGTTTATGACTGGCGATGAAAACAGCATGCGGAATACCTCACAAACCAAATTTCGGTGCTGAATAACTTATCGCGTTTATATAAACTGAGTTTGTACACAGCTTCGTCTGCTTTCTTACTAATGCACCTTCCAGCCAATGAATGAAGAACAAATTAGGAAAATTGAGTAAACTTCTGGTTGGAAGAGGCCTTCGATTAACTGCAATGAATCTCTTCGGGAGAATCGCAGTCATTGAGGATGTTGAAAGCAGATGAAAGCAAATAGAAAAAAGTAATTTAATGATGCAATCGGTTGCTGCCATGCATTACAGATGATGCGCATTTTAAAGATGCCCTTGACGGGTACGCTTCACGCAAGTGATGGAAAGAAATCTCAGAAAGATTAAGAATAGAGATAACGAAATGAAAACTTTGAGGAGTCTCAGTACTCAAAATCGAGGAAAAATTTAATTAAGTGATACCCGTCATGAATAAAAAATCAATTTTTGTAGTTCACTTGAAGGAACAGTCAAAACTGAAACCGTCTTGAAGCTCCGAATCTTACTTTCAATCGCTAGTCACGCGGTCATACCAAAGGGATCAAAGTTGTTAGGAAAGCAAAGGCAAGGAAAGACTTATTAAAAGAAGACTTCGGAAGTTCAGCTGCAAATGTTTGAAGAGGAAGTGAATCAAGTAGCAAAGCTACGGTAAAACATGGCAATGCGAAATATTAACTATGATCTGCCCCTTCTCATCTAACACTCTTCAGGGCGACTCATCTAACACTCTTGAGGGGGACTAAGGGTACTAAACGAACGCGAGCATGAGAGGGAGCGAAATACGGGATTGAAACCTATGAAAAATCCATTAAATATCCAATCCTTATTGAACTTAACCATACTATTCGCTTCCTTTCCCAAAATAACCACGTGGGAACCCATGAATCAGATCGGCATCACATGTTTCATGCCGATCGGGGCACCACCACAAAACGGGGCTTGTGATGCATGGTGGGAAAAAAAGTCGGGTAACAAATAAAATACACAAATGAAAACAGCTGCCTCTTGAAATTCTTCCGGCGATCTCAAACTGTTACATAGAGCTTTGAACATAAGCCCTAAATAATCGCAGAATAAGTTCTATGGAAGTCTATAACACCGTGAGCAAACAATTCACCTCCTACCTAAGCCATGAACAACATTTTACGGATTAAGACTCTTTCCGAGCAAACAGAAGGCAGAAACAAACACATTGAATTCACATCTACTAACCTCATGCACGATTGAAAAATTCAAAATCGACATTTAATCAACTTGCCTGATCTGCACTCAGAATTTCCGCCACCGTTTTCATCTCGGGTGCCTTATAGTGAACTTCTGGATCTTCTTCTAAATTTTCCTCTGTAAACTCCTCGGCCATTGCTAAAAAACAATGAAAGTTATCAAAAAATCAATACATAAACGATCATAAGCGATCCGTAGATAGCGAAAATGTTGAGCGAATAGAAGCACAAGAAGCACAACTGATTAGGACAATCAATGGTCTCGAAAAGGCCTAGCGCTAACTGGCCCTGATACGTCTGGACCAAAACTTGGCGGCGAAACCTATTTCTTGCCGTTCCCCGTGACTACAAGGGCGGGACCAAAACCGGAACGAGGAAAAAAGAAGGGACCTAATGTCCATGTATTTCAATGAATCTGAGGGCGCGAGAAAGTGACATGGTATTTGAGGAGTGGACCGAAGAAAACGAGGCCAGGTATTAGCAACGGGGAGGACAAATGATGACACGAGACGATGAGGTTGCGAGGAGGCACATCGACTCGCCATGGAACACTGACGACGAAAAACTACGGAAATTAAGATTGGCAAGGTCGGTTAGTATGTGGATAGACGGACACCGAGGGACGCTATGGCATGGACGTGTTTTTCGGTTTGGAATCCCCACTTAGAACCGCCTACTCTCCCTCGCAAGGAGACGGGTTTAGCCCGCCGTAAGGGGGGTTCAACAAAATGGCGACCTCATTAGTAATGCATAGCCGAGGAGCAATGAGGGTGAGTGGAAGGTTGCAGGGGTTCGTTCCCGGAAGTAGTATAGCATAAAATATCTAAAAATATGGGATTTTTGAAGAACTGCAAAATTCCTTATCATAACAATTACAATATAATAGTTAGTGGTTACCGAATTTTGATTATTTTACTGTTATTATGGTCGTAAAAGCAGGGATGCATTATCTTGCAGAAGATAATTGGTTACTAAATAGAGCTAGCTGCACATTGCATTCCCAGCTATTACGAAAAGGATGAAGCTATATAATTGCGTTAGTGTTCGATGAGATTTTTCAGATCCTATCCCAGATGTGAAGACGATTTCTGCAGAGAGCGGGCGGGAACGTTCTCGAGCAAGAGTGGGCCAAAAAAATCGTGCACCGTTTCGTGCGCGGCACATGACTTATGGTGGGGCGCAGAGGTATTAATTACCTGGCTTTCCCCTCTAAACACTTGGACGAACGATTCCGGAAAGGGCCGCGGGGGTACCTTCTCCCCCAAACACCCTTCCGGATAGAACAGGTACGGGGGCACTGTGCAAACCAGTTGATATTCGTACTTGCTCACATGTGCAGGCCATATGTACCACTAAAAGAAGGGCAGTTTAGGGCGAGAGACGTCCACACTGCCAAGGGACAGCCGTAAAATCATGAACTGTTGCGACGTGTTGCATGATGTGATGAAAATAGCTGTGTGGATAGAATCGTGGCCATCAACTGGTTGTGGAAGACTTTTGGTGGGTGGTAGAACAACAACCCAAAGGAGGAGAGTACATCTGGGTGCCTGATCATGGACTGGCAGGGAGAGAGCAACGGAAATGACGGCCAGCGTTGCGATAGGACATGGCGAAACAAAGAACACTGGCCAAACGCGATGGTGGTGACTCATCAACAACGAAGTTCCTCGAAACAGTTTGAAACCGAACAGCTTGGGGGAGGGGACAAGAAGAGAAACCGAGAACGGCAGCTATCAGTGGTTTCAGAAGGAGAATCCTCGCCAATGCATTGGGGTGTTGAGCATTCGATGGGACAAGCTCTCGGAGTAACATGACGGCAGTTTGGACGTTAGAAGAACTTTACGGCCACTTTTTTCCTCGTTTAATAGTCTCAGAAAAAACTGCAAGAAAAAATGATCAATGAGGAAGCCATAATCCCCCGTCGCCGGTTATAGAAACACGAACCGCCTGCCCTGGTAGCATACATCAAGCAACCGTAAACCACCCAGACACAATTCATTAACCTCCAGTACCTTCGACAAGGTAAGTTCCGAGCAGGTGGGGACATAATTACCCCGACTAGTCAGGAATAACTTCAAAAAAATCCATAGCACTTATCACCTCGGTTTCAAAAAGAGTAACCACAAAACCAAAAGAAAACATCGGCAAAGAATGAGCAGTAATCACCGCTAGAAAAAAAGGATCAGGACGATACACGCAAAAAATGGATGTGATCCACCTCACCAAATTCAAGCCAAGTGGAATAGGATCGGGAAATCCGAGAGGAGGTGCTACAACGGCAGCCCTTTCTCAAATTTCGTGAGGAGAAAAGAGAAATAAGACATTCTCATAAGTTGCGACAACAATGAAATCGGGATCATCCCCAAATGTGATGGCAAACAAAGGTGATAAGCAAACTCCATCCTTTAAAAGTCGTGGTGGGACCCGAGACACTGCGACGTGTACGGTCTGTGGTGTACACTGATAGTACTGCGTCTGCCTCGCGTATAAACAGCCCTGATCTAAATAAAAGGCGCAGATAACGAAAACCATGGAGTCCTTCTTGGGAAGTGCTGAGTGACAAAATTTGGCATAGACAAGCGGTCGATGCAGAGTAACCTTTTTTGATGATGCCCTTGAGGTAATTGCGAAATTCTTAGCTCACATGTACTCGACAAAGACAGCCCTGCCACGTGTGTCGAGGCCATGTATATAGCATTGAGAGGAACAATGTGTGTGAAAAAACAACAACAGTAGATGAGGTGATCAAATAAAGGCATGAACAACGGATCGGAGTTCGAAGAGATAGAAATACGCGCGGTGGAGCACAATTCATCATACGCGTGCGCGTTTGCGGCACGCGCTAAAGAAATGGCGGCCGGCTACTATAATTGGATGCCAAGGCAGAAAGCTCCAAAAGGAGAGTTCGTAGGGACGAAATTGTCGAGTCGCGGCGAGAGAGACGCCACGTGCGAAGGAATGTAGCAGAATGCAGCAGCAGGTAAGAAATTCAGGAACAAAAGAACTAAAGAATCATGCCATAAGTAATAATCGCATGGCGATTGAGCTGTATGAAGAACGCTAGAACAGTTATAACGAGGCAAATAGTCTGCGACAGCCGCGTGCGGCGGATCGATTGCCCAAAACGATTTCTACTGCCCGTCTCCCAGTTCAAATGGAAAGATAGTAAAAATGTCAAGCTTTTTATGGGAGTTCCCTCGTTGCGAATAGTAAGTTCAAAGCTAGATGCTGCCCTATAACAAAATGCAACTATGAGTAGCCATTATCAGAGCACAACGGAGATTGCTGGATTATCTCTACAGTGTATAGGCTAAGAGAACCTCGATGCTATAGGAATGAGCCACCATCACTTGGGATCACATGATTACTAAAACATTGAAAACGAAATACTGTAACTTCAGATGCTCTGAATCCATAGAAAAAATCGTGAACAAAAAAATCCCCCCTGATTGCAGTCACGGGAGCGACGGCGAGATTTCTCGCAAGATATAGGATTCCGACCATTTTTCAAAGTTGGGATCAATAGAATTCCATCGGCAACACGACACCTAACGGATTATTCTCATTTATCTTATTCAGTAGAATAATAATAAATTTACTATCAAATATATTAAACAATATTTAGCCGTATCTACATAGTAAAAATGGTCTCGGAATTCCACAAGGAAAACGAGAAATCACTGAAGAAACCAAATTTCAAAATAGCCTGAAAATCGCTGGGCTAGTTCGCTTTTGTGCTACATGTAGGCCATAATCTATCAATCAACAAAAAGTTGTGAGGGTTTGCATGGGATGAATCCCCATTTAGAAAGGATCCTGAAAGAAAAAGAGGTGGGAAAAATTCCTCGCATTTAAGAGAATCATGATCTAATCAAAGCGAACTGTTTCAAGAAGCAACAAATCGGCAACGAATTCCAGGAAACGATTTTCAGGTAGAGAACAGGTGGCAAACTAAGCCAGAAAGGTTATGCCACTTAGGATATCTGTTTACATAGGCGTAAAAACCTGGTGATATTCACTCGTTCGAGAATGATTGTTTACTTTATACTTTCTGTGAGAAAGTAACTCTACTGGGAAAAAGTTCAAGAGAACTATATGAAAACACAAAAGTATATAAGTAATTTTCGGTCGAATATTTGGGAACGAAGACAAATGAACAAGTAGTCCTCATTAGTAATGGCAGTAGTTAGTTTTGCGAGAGCTCTGGTTCTCTTCAGTCACTACCTCTGAAAAAGTCAAGCTAGCGGTGAAATTGTTGTGCATTCGGCTGCATCGATAATTGGGGAGTGTTTTCATGAAGCCAAGTGGAACAGAAAATGAGACACTAATGACCATAAGCATGAAGTTTTTCCCGAAGGATGTCTATTTTTTTTTTGAAAAGCTTGACAAAATGAGCTCTCCCAGACGACAACACGATGAAATGAAGGGGGCGAAAACGAGGGCAGCTCGCTGTAATACTATAGCCATGTTGTGAGTGATTTTCAATGTAAACAGTAAAAGTTATACACTGTCACAGACATCGGTCATTTGAGACGCGATGACACCGAAAAGCTTCCATGAAACAGGGAATACTTCCTTCAAAGCGTTCTCATCTCGTGACTGCATGCATAATATACGTGGGATCATATTGGGATCCTATGGGACGTGGTTTCAATAAATGAATTCTAGCAATTACAGAAAATCGGTAGTTTCAATCAGATACTTCCCGATAGTAGGCACGGCACATTCATGTGCACGTAATATTCAACGTTTCTCCGACTTTATCTACTCAATGGCAGTATACTACTGTTGAAGTAGAATTCAATTTTTCACCGACGATAACCATAAATAAAAATTATTGGCAATATTTAATGAATATTATTCCGATTGCATTGTTATCGGTAATCATTAACCGGTAATAGAGCAGCTACTACGCAGAGAAAAGAACGCCAATTTCGAAAATTTATTGAATAAGACAGGAAAATCAGATGGATGGCTGCTAATCTGACGTAAACTGCCCAGTTAAGGGGATAAGTACTATCGACAGCTGCTGACTGGGAATTATGCTTTGGGTGAAAAACTGTCTGGAGGATAAGCCGCTGAGAACTCAGAAAAGCCTACAACAGTTCAGCAACCATTAACGGCTTAGCAGGAAGGG